AGGTTCTCATTTCTGTTGCATGGAATGGCAGGTGTAACTTTTGGGTGTGTGTTACTGTGTACATGGCACATAGTTTGTGATAGAATTACAGGAAATTACGGGTAGGAAAAATGCAAAATTATATTGTCATGTGTAGGAAGTAGTTTTAAAACCAATGCAGATTAATCCTTTCATCCGATTTTCTGCAAGGCAAGTAAAAGCACTGCCTATTCCCCTTCTCTCCAGAGTAGTATTAAGTTACCATTTCCAGTCTTGCACAGGTGGGAGAGAGATTTAAAACCATTTCATGCATGATATAAAGAAGTTGTTACAAGCTTAAGTGTAAAACTTACGGTTACCCACAGCTTTGACAAAGTGCAGTTGTTGGAGGAAATTCAATACTCCCACAAGGGAATAGGAAATGTATGTCTCCTTAATGGATTTTTAGGTAGAACAAATTACTTCTCAAAGATTATCAGGGATTCTGAACTTTAAAATGAACGTCAGTGCTCAGAACTACTCTTTGCTGAGCAGCTTTGGCTATAAAAGGAATGAGGTGTCAGACGAATTATAAAGCAGTTTCCATCCCATGGATCTTCTCTTCTGTGTGAGCTTAGAACAAATGCATGTGCTATCCTTGGGAATGCTTCACCTCTGTGGTATGGCTGAGGTTTATCACGTTCATCATTTCCAAAGCCATTGTTGTTGCCCATCCTGTGTCAGTGCTCAGACACCTCCATGTCTCAAGGTCTGTTTGCATCACTACCCACCATGCCAGCATTATACCCCCACCAAAATGGTGTTGTCATTACCAGGTCTGTGTTAAGCTTTTGTAAGACCTTAGATAAAGAACTCTATAATTTTTTGTAATTAAGGCCAATTTTAATTCCAGGCGCAGTTAAGTGTGCTGTGGGTGAAGATAAATAAATGAGTTTAAAAATGATGACATAAATCCTATTCTCGGTGTTATTAGCTGCAGTTATGTGTCAGTGCAACACAAAAGCTTTTCCTTTGTTATTCTGTACTAATGGTAACATGCTGTAAGGAAAACAGAAACATCTGCGTATTAAATAAGGGTAGAACTTGTATACTGAATAACTGTAGTAGTATTTTGGGGCTTCTTTCAAAATACTTCCTTTCCCCCCCCTTTTTAAAATGTACTTTAAGTATACCTGCTTATTTCCCACAGAAAATGAAGCCTTTCTCTTGTTCTCCCCATTTATTCATTCGCTCTGAGTTTTGAAGCATGGTAAATACTGCTTTACAAATCAACTCTAGAGGAAAGGACATGAGAATGGCAGGACTCCTGTGGGAAGCAAGGAAGCTGAGGAGCTATTTTTCTCCCTTTACATAAGTGAAAATGTCAGTTTTACCCTTTCTGACTCGATGTAGGGAACACCTGATGATGTCAAATGTTGGCTATAACTCTTTCAGCCCTTACCATACATACCTTTCTGCCTATGTATTTCCAGCTCTCATGTCCTGAAGTGGTATTTAATAAGCTTTATGTAAGCATTTGCAATTATCTAATAGCACCTGAAAATTGCTTACTAAATGACAGGAGGAAGTTTCATTTGCATTCCATATCTGATGTTAAATCTGCTAATCCTCCCTAGGCTCTGCCAGGAAAAACAATGTAGACAGACCTGAATTTTATTAAAATCAGAAATTGAGCACAATGCTTCCTACTCTTCCTTTACACACTGTGAAATAAATCTCCTGAAATATATCTGTCGATTCAGCCATAAGCCTCATAGATTTTCTTGAAACGTGCCTTAGTTATCAGTTCCTTACAGAGCACTCATTCACAGCCCTTCCCTCTTGGGCCAACTTCCCTTGCCCTGTGACTGCTATCTCCAGCTTTTCTCCTGTTTATATAAGTTAATCTTCCACAGAGTGACAGGTTGGTTGTGTGTTTTTTTTTTTTTCCTTCCATTAATGAGAACTCCAAATTGTGCCTAATGAAGTGTTTGCTCATACTGCTAGAATAATATTATATGAGAGCACAGTCGAGATAAGAGACTCTGAAGAAAATAAGCATCTTTAAAGATTCTGGATGAGATAACAAAGCTGGTTTTTTTGCCAATATTTTCCTGTTTTATTTGAAAATGGCTTCTGGTGCAGCTGTGTAACCAGGACTATTTCAAACAACATCCATTATTTATTGGCCTGGTTAGCAAACAAGGACACCTTTGAGTACAGCAAATGGTGAGGTGAATTTACAGTGCTTTACCAGCTGAAGACAAGCTTTTTTGCTGGTCTTTTTCTCTAAAATTTTCCATTTGGTGTGAGCAGCACTGGGGAGAGCAATGGGAACTTAGGGAGTTGTGGACACAAGTGGAATTGTGCCTTTGATTTGCTCCCCAGGTGTATCAGATCAGGTTGCAGACCAGGCTGCCCATAAAGGCAGTTTCCTCCTCACTCCAGTAGGAACTGCAGAAAATACAGTTGAAGAGAGAAATTTTACAACTGTTGTGCGCTGAAATGATTCAGCACCCTGTCTTTCTGCAGAGTGAGTCTGAGAGAATGAAATGCTGTCTAGCTGCCTGGAATACACTGAAACTTCCAACTCGATTAAAAGTGGCTTGCCAATTTATAAGTGACTTGCTTGCAACATACAAAAAACACCAGTACAGCTTGTATTGCAAGGGAGCTAAGGGAAGGCAATGGTGTTATGTTCATGGCAGCCTGTAGGCATTAAGGGCCTTAAACTGCCCTCTAAGTAACTACCATCCCTGTGGGGTGAAGACAAGGTTTCCAAGGGTGGCTGTTGTCATGGGAAGAATGACTGTATGGAAAATACGCTTATCATAGAATCACCAAGGTTGGAAAAGTCCTCCACGATCACCCAGTCCAACGTTCCACCTACCACCAGTATTTCTCCACTATACCACATCCCTCAGTGCAACATCCAAACGGTTCTTGAACACAACTGCTGTATGTGACGTAGCTTGCTTTTGTTACCTGTGACATACTGTGATTACACTGACTTTTAATGCTTCAACTCATCTAAAATAATAGTTGTGGTATTAATGGCAGGGCTTGGTGCGTGACGGTGACTCTTTCTCTTGGTTAGAGTGTTGGAACTTGATAAAAAATATCTGAAAGCACAAGTGTAGGGTTGGGTAATGTGGACGAGTAGTGTCATCAAAAAGAGAAGTTGTCTGGGGAGCTTGGAATTCTCTGGGGCAAAAAGTTGTTTTGTGGGAGAAAAGCATCAAGTCAGGATGCACAGGTTTGTGTTTCAGCAAATACAAAAGGACAGTAAAGGCCAGGTGTACATCTAAAATATGTGGTAGTGAGATAAGATCATTATGAACTGCCTTCAGTGCTACGTGTTATCACTGTGCAAACGTATGCTTAACTGTAGAGAACTGTAGCTATGCTTTAGGTTTATTTTGGGTTTTACAGTGTTTTTAGGGACTGGACCAACATCTTCACGTTCCTGATTCAGTAAGAAACGAGCTGTGGGGGACCTGCTTACTTCATAGTTTGCTAATAGTCTCTAATCTAGACTCTGATCATTGCCTTTGCTATTTTAGATTGCCTCGTTGTTGCTTAATGCTTCTATTTTGGTCATAGCATGTGTTAACAGATTTGATAGGTATCTCCGGAGTGTGAAATGTGTGTTCAGCTGGTATAGGCTGGGCCCACCCAGGTAATTGCCTGCAAAGTGTTGTTCCCTTACAAAAAAAAGTACACTAGTCCTCATGGAAGAGCTGTGCAGTCCTATTGCTTCTCCAGTTAGTCTTTTGTTTCTCTTTTATAACGTTGTATTAACAAGGGAGGGAAGCATCTGTACATCTGTGTTAGGACAGCACTTAAAGGGCAGAGAAATGTGATGTAGTGCATAGGATCATTAAGACCTGTAGGATCAGCAGGTCCAAGCCCAGTTTGGGCACCAGCCTGGACCCCCGTCGCTCTCAGTTCAGTGATTTTCCTTTGTAGTGGTGTTAGATTTGGGAAAATAAAAATTGCACATGATTGCTATCTCCACAATAACCCATCTTTCTCACCCGTTTTAGAGAGACGCTCTTTGGACTGTTCTGATTCGCATGCAGTACAAATGGGTGGCAATCTTTACGTCAGGGCTGCAGGAATTTCTGAATGAATTCAGCTGGCATCTCAGAGCAATGTATCTGGCTTAGCAGGAGCCTCCACTCGATCTTGTTTCTCCTGCTGGGAGTTTGCATGGGCTGAGTGCCATTTAATGTGATTCTACTTCTTAATATTGAAACTAGGTCCTGTATCACTACTTTTTGCCACATGTGTGCATGTGTACATCTATATCAAACTGACCCCAAAATTAACGGATTAGTTCTTCTCTACTTTGCCAAAAGGCACAGAGAGCCCCACGGAAATGCACAATCCACACCCAAAATGTCTGTCTCATCTCTCTGAACGTTCTACTTTGCAGTTCTCCAAAACACGTGTCACCACCAAACATCTTCCTTGACATTTCCTTGGAGTACACTTAAATCGAATTTGCACTCATGATGGATGATGGATAAAGCAACTGATAAATGCGTTTATGATTCAGGTGGTGTCCCTTACCTGAAGTCAGTAGAGATATGCTGATCTGTATCGATAAAGGAACTGGATGGGTTAAATTTTGGATTCTAGGCTGTTGGTGTTAAAGCCAACACTTGTCTGCATTGTGCTGTCTTTAATGGCACTGTAATCCTGTCTCACTCAAGTAGAATGCACAGGATCTCTGTTTTGGTGTTGATTATTCAGGAACTACAAGGCATCTGTAAGACTGACTTTGCTTAGAAGGACAAATAGATTAAACAAGCAGTAATTTGTGGAAATTTAAGTACTCCGTGCAGGATCTTGGCCAGCAGAAGGCAGTAACTGCTCAGCTTTGAGTTGCTCATTGTTACTGAAATACGCTTGCTTGCATTAGCCGTCTTCACACTATAGATCTACGGACTGAACTTCCAAGGTTTCAGAATTAATGTGTTGTTCATGTGCTGTTGCTTATGGTTCCCCGTAAACAATGTTTTCCCATTCTTTCCCAGGCCTCAGACTTTTACTTCTCACGTACCACGTTCAGCATGCTGCTGTTCTGTCACTCGCTGCTTGGAGCCTTTCTTCCACTCTTCCTCCTTTCAGGGAATTGGGTTTCAGCAAAGAATATCAACTTTTACAATGTGAGACCTCCACTGGACCGTAAGTAGACAGTTATGCTTTCCTTGCAGATGCACTGGTAACAACATTTAGTTCATTTCCATATGCTTTCAGTAATTTGTTTCTTAGTTCTTCATTTTGGATTTTACAGTTTATTCCTCTTTAAACATGAAGAATTAGATTTTTAAAGTAAAACTTCTGCTTTTCAACACGGAGCAGTTTATTCCTAAGGTTTATCTTGCCTGAAAGTAAACAAACTGTTGAATGCAGCACTAAAGTAAAGGTTCACCACAGCAACAGTTTTCACATTTTAAGTCTTTTTGTGATATTTTCCTGCCTCTGAAGCATCTCCCTTCTGACAACATTATGCAGTGGATTTCTTGTAAATACAGAACAGGTGTCTTTTGTCTTTAATCTTGTTGGGGTTTTTGTAAGTGGAAGAATAGGTGTGCAGCATGCAATTAATTCAAGCTGAAGGTAATTAAAAACGTTGTGAGACCTGTGGATCCAGTTGTCACTAATAGCATCATACTTTCGCCTCTTATCTGACATCAGAAGTATTCTGTCCCTTCACTTAAGAGAAGATTTTCCTGATATTAAAAGCTGATACATTATAGGTGCTTCTGAAACTCGTTTATATATATGTATGTAATGTAAATAAGCTTTTCAAATAATCCTCTTGATCCCTTTGTTGAAGGGAACAGATTCTCCAAAGTTGGAGATCAAGACCAGAAGCAGGTTTTGGAGGTGCAGTTTTTTGCATCAAAGGAATGTAGATTGTTTGTGTATCTGCACCAAAGTACAGTTGGGTGTATTATAATGTATACATATATACATGTAAATATATATAAGATGTTCTCTCTTTACTGCTTTTCCCACTGATGCTTAAAAGCTGTTCTGGATTGTGAGAGAGTGAAAAGAGGAGGAAGTGTTTTAAAGATCAGGCATAGCAAAAGCAGTTAAAAGCTTTCAGTGAAACTTGTGTCATAAGATGCATTTATCTAACAGTGAAGTATCACTGAGAAAATGCACGTCTATGTAACATGTTTGTGTGTGTGCAAGCACTTAAAATATTACTGTGAGCATTTGATTTATGGTTTTCTTTTGTTTTGTTTTGTTGGGGTTTTTTTTGTAAACTTACTGTATTTTAATACTTTCAAAGCCACTCCATTTCCAAACAGTTTTAAGTGCTTTACCTGTGATAATGCAGTGGACAATTACAACTGTAACAGATGGGCTGAAGATCGGTGGTGTCCTGAAAGTAAGTGTTTCTGCACTAAGGGCTTTTTTCCTACACAGTTCAACTTGTTTCTCCCTGACTCAGCCATCCTGTTGAAGTCTAACTGAATAGGATTAACATACCAACACAGTGATGCCCTCAATTATGTTATTAGTGAGTCTGAGTCATGTGATTTTTTGCTGAGTTTAATATTCTGACCATTTCAGAGTGCAAAGCAACAATGCAAAGATTAATATGTATATATAGGAATAGATATGCATGTGTTTACTTCCTAGGAATTAGTTTTAAGGATGTTATCAAAAAACTTGAGAATTGCTTTCTTGGCCTTATCTCCTTCCCTTTGGATAAATCCCAAGGTATGGTGGGCTCACTTGTGACAGTCAAGACCTGAATGACTGGGCAACATACTTGTATGAGAGTGATAGATAGGTAGAAAAGAATGGAAATATGTTTCCTCATTTTTCTTCACAGTGGTGGTCACGGTGGGAAGGGGAAAGAAATGAACCAGAGGAATGAGGGAAATGTCTGAAACAAAGAAGAAAACAATGTGCTGCAGGAAAAAAAGAGTAGAAAATAGAAGATAAATGTGTAGTCTGTAGTACAAATATGTAGTTTAAATGGTAGCAGCTTTTCTGGAGGTTTGAAGGATCAGTGAAGCTTAAGATTTCATTGCTAATTTATTTCTTGTTAAGTGGTATTTTGAGTGAGTTGAAAAAAGGCTTTATGCATTTTGCTAAATTGTGTGAAGTTTTTGAACCCTGTAGAGGAGTGCATTCTATCTGAAAATCAACATTTAAAAATGTGTTTTGTAGGTACACAGTACTGCCTGACAGTTCATCTCTTCACAGACCATGGGAAGAGCACATCGGTCACCAAAAAATGTGCTACTGGGGATGAGTGCCATTTTGTAGGCTGCCATCATCACAGGGAAAGCGGTCACACAGTAAGCACTGCTTAGATAGGAGCAGCATGTTGGCTTTAAGGGTTCCATTTGAGCAGCTGTTTTTCCTGCAGAGCTGAAGAGCACATGCCAGCACATATTCTTCAGTACTGCGCAGTAGAAATCCAGTTTCTCCAATAGAAGCATGATTACCCCTTTCCTCCTACTTGCTTATTTGTGTGACTGTGTCGTGGGGTGTAATAAGCAGTTCTGAAGAAGCACCTGAGCTTTCTGGGGCATTGCTGGCATGCATCCTATACATGGACCTTGGTTTCTGAGTTCTGAGTAAGGCAGCCTGCATCAATGCTTGTGGTGCTGCAGCTGTGATGCCACCAGCACTTGAGCAAACCACTGTGGGACTCAGGTGCTCCAGACATGAGTCTGAGTGACACACCTTGTGTGCCAAAAAAAGAGCTCATGCACTAAAAGGAAAATACAAGGTGCAAAGAGCTGTGCCAAATAAACTGTGAAAGACAGAAGCCAAACACCATTTATCAGAGAGGAATAATTCCCAAATGGGAGCTGGTGAAGTTCTGTAAAGAAAACTAATTTGTTATGTTAGATTGATGGCAGAAATCTAGAAGAGGTAAAAAGTGATTAGCATAAAACCTGCTGAAAGTTTGAAAGTTCCTGTTTGCAGACTCGTGAAGCCAGCCCTGAAAAGCAAGGCACTGCCCTTAGCTGCCACCATCCCAGTGCTGTCACTGATTAAGGGCTGCAACCTGGGTGCCTTATGTTTTTATAAGGGCAGTTCCAGTCTCTACTCTTGCAGTTACCATTGTATTCCATATTTTACACCATTAAACTCCTGCAGTTTGACCAGTTCCCTTCTTGCCTTGAGAGACTTTCAGTGACACTGGCGTGTTTTGCAAAAAATTCTGTTTGATAACTTGATATATTTGGATGATCTTCCTCTTAAAATTCTTCACAACTCTGGGAATAGATGTAAGCTCATTTTTCTACCCTGTGTCATTTAAGATTGTTTTTTTTTAATGAATATGAGCTGCTGAACTATTTTGGGGATTGAAGTCAGTCTAACCTCCCATGTTTTTGCAAAAGAACTGTTTGTCGTAGCACAGTTATTGGATTGGGTGGTGAGTTACCCTGGGGAAGCTGTGGTGCATGGTTTGGAGGAGAAGCTGCAACATGAGTGCTGCATCTGCTGCCTTGGGTGCTGGGTAAAGTGCTTAGTTTACTGTCCTTTGCAGTCATCTTGCAGATCGTGCATCTCTAGAAGCCGCTGCTGAATTACCCTGTGTCCAGTGATCTCCTTTTCCTCCACAGGAATGTGTTTCTTGCTGTGAAGGCATGATTTGCAACGTGGAGATCCCAACCAATCACACAAACGCAGTGTTTGCCGTGCTGCACGCGCGGAGGACGTCGGACGGCAGCCGGCGGACGGTCAGCACTGCAGTGCTTGTAGCAGTCGTGGCAGTCGCACTGTCGTGATGCAGCATCCTCCCATTGCACCACTTGCCTTTGTGGGCCCTTGGAAATTGTAAGGAGCTCAGCAGGCTCAAGGAGAAACCACCAAGACTTCTCGATTGCATAAAATGTGAGAGGACGGTGGGAAGATGTTCACACATCATGCAGTCCTTGGGTTCTAATGAAGATATTTCAAATGGTCCGCAGTATTTAAAGAAGAGCAAAACATGCACACAGAAAAAGCACAACAGGAAACCCAATGGTGACTGGGCAGTGAGGCAGAATCAAGTTGTTATGACTCCCTCTTTTGCGATGAAAATGCACGTGTGGTTTGTGTGTTTTTGAACAAAGTAAAGGGGATTCTGTAGACAATCAGGTGAGATAAAGGGGAGCTCTCAGTGGACCATGTGCCAATTTGTGTTTTAATGGAAAGTGTTTCTAAGCTGTTTATCACTATGCATGAATAACACGGGCTGTAAGCTGTATGTAAGCTTATCGTTAGTTATGGTTTTTCATAGTTATGGTTTTCATATGAAAGGAGTTTTTCTGTTCTGATCAGAGCTATCATTTCTATGAGAAATAAAATAATACTTTATGCCTCTCTTTCCTATAAGATGTCTTGCACTGGAATTATAAAGCAATATGAAATTAGGTAGAGTTTCTATCCGAAAAGGATGAGCTGGTTGAGCACCTAACTCAGAGTTCATTAATGTCCTCAGTGGCAGTATTTTCTTACAGTAAGGTCCCACCTCAAGTGCTCACCTCAGCTTCTGAGTCCTTCTCTTTGTTATATTGGCATGGCAGTAACGCCACAGATTTCAAATTGTGGCTGCAATTGAGCAGTTACTTTACCATAAAAATGGCAAGCGAGCCTTTGTATAAATAAGGAGAGAACTGTACCATGTGTTCTCTTTGGTCTACAGAAGATTTTCCCAGAAATGCTGCTCTCCTTGATGGATCAGAAGTCAGCAACTGGATATCCCATGCCTCTGGACATAGCTTTATCTAGCACTTGAAAAGTTTAGGCCATACTCTGTTCCTTTTTTTTACAGTATTACAGTGATTAATGTCATTTATATGCCCAGCTTTGACTATTTGAATCCCTGTCATACAGATGACAGTTCATTAATTAGATGAAGAGCTGCAAACATCTCAGTACAGTGAGATGTACTGGAACCTTTGTTTCCTTCTGTGAAGCCTGATGCAGACCAGCACACCCAGGCTGCTCCAGTGAGCTCCCACCCCTTCCAGCTGCACAGATTGTCCTGAGTATGGTCCACAATAAGTCAGATGTACAGTTACTTCATTAATGCTCTAGCTTATTTATGTTCTTTGCCCTGCAAACTCCCTGATGGTACAGGCCAGCAGGTACTAATTTCGGATTGTTATCAGGATAGTTTTATATGATCATGAATCTAACATTTCAGCTGCTCCTCTTTGCCAAATTGAGCTTCTTCAAACTCTCCCTTCTCCAGCAACCCAATATTTCAGCACAGCTAAGGATTTCAGTGGAACAGGTTGCCCAAGGAGGCTGTGGATGCCCCATCCCTGCAGGCATTCAAGGCCAGGCTGGATGTGGCTCTGGGCAGCCTGGGCTGCTGGTTGGTGACCCTGCACACAGCAGGGGGTTGGAACTGGATGAGCACTGTGGGCCTTTGCAACCCAGGCCATTCTGTGATTCATGATTTGACCCTACAAGGTTGGAGAATTGCATTTCTTTTCTTTCTGTAAATAAAATTGTGATTCACTTATGAGTGTGTCCCTGTGATTGTTCTGTGATCTTTTCCAGTGGCTCAGCCAAAATGAGAGGGGTTGAAAATGACAATAAATTGTTGCAGTGTCTTTCAGAGATGAGGTTTCTGAAAAGTTTTACTTTGCCAAGAGATTCAGAAGTGATCTCTAAAATGTTAAAATAACCCTAGAAATGGGGGATTTTAAACATTGACGTCTCAAGTCACTGGGCCATCCAACACGCCAAGCTGCCAGGGATGATTTTGGACACGTTTCCTTTGTTCAAAGCTCATCCCTGGGTAATGACACACCTACAGCACTAATCTTGGGCTCAGACATAGCTACAGTCATAGTTAGAATTGATGTTTAGTGATGAAAACCAACATGCTTTTTGCTACGTGACCCACAGGGTTCATGAACTTTTCTCCCATGGAAAAGTCATCCCAGATTTGCTCTGTGCTCCTGAGGGAGTTCCTCAGTCGAGCATGATGGTTGGGACCATGGTTCTTTCTGTGGTGTTTTCTTTGAGCACCAGGTACTTCCATAACGTTGCTTCTGTGAAGAATTATGGCAATCATCATGAGGAATTAAAGTGGCTCAGTAGCCTTATATGAGTTTACTGTAAATACTTGCTGTGCAAATGCCATTTTGGAGCATTCAGGAGTGCCAGGAAGCCCCTGGAAAGCAGCCCAGAGGGGGGCTCTGGCACAGAGAAAAGACTTTCAGGTTCTCTGCAGCTGCCAAAAGGGGATGTGTGTGCATCTCTGCTCATCTTTTTCTTGGTTGAACTGATTTTTTTATTCTCTTTGTCACACTGAAAATATAAGAATTCTGCACATAATGTATGCATTTGCTGAAGAATTGTCTATGAAAAAAAATAAAGAGTTCCACCGAAGTGCCAAAGTACTGTGCTTGATTTTAACTGCCTTCTTTTTAACTCTTATAGAGACTGCAGCCTGGGCTAATGAAGGGGTTCTGTGTTGCTGAAGGTGCATTTTTTAATGTAGCAGAGTTCCAGTATCAGAATTGATTCTCAGTTTTGGTTCATACGCATGTGATGTGGTAATGCCTCAGTTAGCTTTGGAAGTGCCATTTGGGTAAGTGCTTACCTGTAACTACATGCAGAACAGAGATGTTTGCTGATGCTTCTGTGTTCATCCAGGTGTGTACATCCAGCCTGCTGCATTCTCACTCACAGGACGGAGTAAGAATCCCATTTCTGTCCATGAATACGTCATATAAACCATCTGATGCAGTTAAGGAGGAAAGATGAGGTTGTTTGGTGACACATGCATATCATTTTATTTGTTCTACTTTGCATGGGATGATCTGTGGAAGACCCCCCCAGGCACGTAGCAAGGAGGAAGCAGCATTTCATTCCTACTTCTGAAAAGTACTGAATAATATTTTGCTATGACTTAATCAGAAAAGCCTCAAAGGTGAAACATCCTGCTCGAGTGGCTTTAGCAGAAAACCTGAAGTCTTGATGCAGGTTGTAGGCGTCCAGTCCAGTCACTTAAACAGGATCAAGTGCTGATTTCAGGTGTACAGAGCAAGAAAACTACAAAAACTCCACTTATTTCAGAAGGCAAAGGTCTGCAGAGCCTCTTTCTGTGTCCTGAGCCTGCAACCAGGCTCCTTCCAGCCTCAGGACACAGAGGTTCTGCAGACCTTTGCAGTGCAGGGCATTACAGGCTGTGCTGCTTGCAGGTGTCTCCAATTAAGAAAATGAGCCTCCATTCCTGTGCACCTGGTGACCCTCTCCTGTGTTGGAGCACAGCAGTGTGCTTGAGGTCTTTGTTTCTCCTCCATTTTCAGTGAAGCCCGAGATGTCAGCCTGCTGTGCTGCTCAGAGCAGAAGGTAGGGAGGTGCTGCTTGGTGTGGGTATCATGGTTCATTATTTTTGCTTAAATTTTGTTTTGATTTGGCAAGGTTGCTTCTAATGCTGTTGTCGGCACCGTAGTAAGAAGCTGTGGTCATTAAAATAGGGAAAATTGAAGGTGGAGTTTGAATGATGGAAAGGGTTTGTGCAAAAAGGTGAGGGCTTGAAAGATCACAGCTCGTTTGTGTTAATTTGGCCAAGTTGTAGCACTTTTAGGTTATTTTATCTGTGCTGTTTGCAGGGTGCTGCTCTGGAAGGTGACTAATCTCACGTGGGGTGCAGCCCCAGACTTGCTGCAAGCTGTAGCTCCTCTGTCAGGCAGCTACTCGTTGGGCTTTGGTTGCAATATAATGGATTCCTTAAAAATGTGGTGCCCACATTGTATATTAAGGATGAAAACCACTGACCCTGAAGTGCTTTGGTGCAGTTGGTGAACAGTCTGCAAAAAGTCTGTAAGTGCAGCACTGGAGGAGGATAAGAAGCAAAGTCCCACTCGTGGGCACAGCCAGGTGTTTTCAGATGAATCAGATCTGTTGGTCTGACTTGCCTGCAGACAGCTGGTAAGCATGTTTCAGTACATTCTTTATAGCAAAGTATTTCTTGGTACCTTTTTTAAACATATGCAGTTCTTCAGGTGGATTTATTTTGCTTTTGTGGGAGCAATCAGGACTGGGGGCTGACATCTGTGCTCATCGTAGTGTGCTGTGGGGGAAGGACACTGTGCATGGATTTGCTGGAGTGAGTGAACTATGGACAGGCATTGGGAAAGTGATCTTGGAACAGTCCAGGATGTTTCCTTTGTGAATTGTGCCACAAACCACCTTGCAGTGCAGTTGGGACGTTTTTCCAAGCACTCAGCTCTTCCTTCTGTCTGGCTAAATGTGATGCACGTAATATCATTGCACACATCTGAGCAGTTATCTCACACTTGACAGCTATCTTATTTCCTTAAGGGGCAAAACAGATACTTATGTATAGAGATACTTTATATTTTACTTTCTTTTTCCTTTTGATGAGTGCAGGTGGAACCACCAGGAAATCAATCACCAAATACATTCTTCTTTGAGGGACTGGTATTTCCAGTTCAATATGCAGCTTTTTCCTTTCTGTTTGACTGTGGATAAAGAGAAAATATTGCCAAAGAGCCGTACCATAGATAAATTCAGGAGATGTGGTCGGTAAATACTTGATTTTTCATGGCCTGTGAGGAACTTAAATACTCCTGCATGTGTATTTAGTGTGAGTGAATGAGCTGTCATTGAACAGATGCCCATTGAAGTTGATGGGAGTTGTACCACAGTGCCCAGTAGCACTGGGAGTTTAAGCAGTGTTCTCATTGCTCACGTGGAGAGCTGCTGTGCAATTAGGTGATCATGTTATAATTTTGAGTAAATAATGGAAATACATACGTTGTTTTGCAGTAAGCTCTGCTGGAGATCACTGGTGGTGTGATCAGTGGGAAAGGCTCGTCTCAAGTCATTGGATCTTTTAAAAAGGTTGGCTATAGACAAGATATGTGCTCAATTGTTTGTCGCAGCCCAAAAGCTTTGTATGAGTGCTGGCCTGTGAGTTGATAGCTGGAGTGGCCTCGTGGCAGGGCCAGGTTGCTTTGTGGAGTGGGTAAATGTTTCTGCTGGAAACCCCTGAGCTCCTGAGTTGGGAATTCAGGGACCCCTTTTGAAGGTTGTAGTGAGATGCAAGATATGGTGGGAAAGGCATGTAGAAAGATTGAGAAGTAGTTCTGATTCCATGAGGATACACACAAAACATCTTTACAGTCTAGCCTGGCACTTTTAAACCACTGCTGTTACATCACTTGTAAACTAAGCAAGATCACAACGTGCCACGCTCTGCAACTATGCTTTTCATTTATTTTCCCTTCCCAAACACCATTAAAGTAAACAGGAGCAATGAAGATGTCCACTGAGCTGCACCGGAGTCTAATCTTGAATGCCTGAGAGCAGAAAACTTGTTCCTCTGGCCGGTTGAGAGCTGTGTTTGAGAGGCCAGCTTTTGTGCAACTTGTTGGCTCGTGTTGGCAGCAAATCAAAATGTAGGAATGCCTCACAGAGAACATCTTATTAATGAGTTTTCCCTGCAGAAGCCCCAAAGTGGGACATGGTTCCTTCAGTCTGGAAAGGCGCCCATGAAAGTTGTCAGTAAGAAGGAATTCCTGGAATTAATGATTTTCTCTTTGTTCTCAGCTCAAAGCAGAGTAGATCCATTACAAAAGGGATTTATTTATTTATTTATTTTAATGTTGGAAAGAAAACGATTTTACCTTAATGAAAAATGTGGGATCTGATTTGGGCCGGGGGAGGAATTAGAGAAATCATTGCAAAATGTGGTTCTGTTGGTGGCTCATTGTGTGCTGTTAAATGGAGTTGGGATTTGGCCGGGACTAGAAATGGTGGAGAGAATAAATCTGCTTTCTTGTAAAAAAGAAACACAGGTATGCAAAACTTTCTAATGTATTTCTAGATAAAGTGCTAAGGTAGAAATTGAGAGTTTTGCTGTCTCCACCATAAGGAATGTCACTCTTTCCATAAAGCAAGCCAGCTCTAGGCCGGTGAATCACTTTATCTCTTTTGAAGTTGTCAAGTAAGGATCTAGGGGTGGCTTAATTGGTGCCTTAGGACTTACACTGCCTGACTTGCTGGGATAATACGTGTGCAAATACAAAACACTCAGTCATTTGAGGATCGTCCTTTGGTCCAAGGGATGGTTGCCATGCACAGCTGGTGCCTGTTGGCACTCAAGAGCACAAATTTGTCTTTTAGAAGTAAAATAAAGCAGTCCTTCTTATGGAAACCATGTTTTATTACTGAGCTTTTCTTTTGTGCCATTATTCGTCATTGTTTATCAGATTTTCTGTGGTCTTCAGACAGTATCTCTTGTTGCCTGTGAGGGAATTTACTATCAGGATATTGAGCTGATAGTGACTGTTGCGTGTTTAAGAG